CCACCCCCCACCCACACACACTGTGAGGCAGGTGGAAGAGTCTGAGCTATCAGCTCCCTTCTGCGACCTGGGGATAATCCTTCCACTCCCCCAATCCAGCACTGTGAGACTTGGAACTCTCTGCTCTACCACTTTTCCTTCTTGCTGTCATCTCTTGATTGCATGATAATTCCTCCACAGCTATCCAGGCATCTGGAGCCTGGTTTATAATCTCCCCTCCATGCCAACTCTTCATTCACTTATTCAAATTTATATTGAGCTGACCACATGCATGCTCACCATACACACAGCATGAGTATAAGGGGCTAGGGATACATTATTGAATAAATAAAACCTTGTTTTCGTGGAACTTACTTACATTCTCAGTAAGTAAGACATAAACAGAGAAAGAAATATATAACCAGAGATATACCATACCAGTGGTGATTAGTGCTTTGAGTAAAATAAACTCAGCAAAGTAGATAGTGAGTGATGAGGACATTTAGGGAGAGCAGGGCAGGCTACCCAAAGAGAGTACATTTGAAAACTTGCTTAAGTGTATGGGCAAGCCAGGGATGGCTGGAGGAAAACCTAGCTAGGAGAGGGGAGCAAAAATGCAAAGGTTCTGAGGTGGGAACATGTTTGGCATATCCGAGGAGCATATTGGAGAGAGCCAACTGAAAGGGAACATGGGAGGAGATGGGAATCAGAGTTAGGCAAACCAGGTTAGAAATGACAGCAGTCAACAATTCAGTTATTATTTGGAGACAGATGGGAAGTTACTGGAGGCTTTGTACAGAGAAGTAGTTTGATCTGACTTAACATTTTGAAAGGAATATTCTGCTCCATAAAAAATGATCTGCATGTTGGGCAAGGGTAGAAGCAGGGAGACCAGGTAGAAAACTACAGCAATAGTACAGGTGAAAAATTATGGTGGCTCAGAGCAGGGTGGTAGGGGAGGAGGTGATATGGAGCAGTAAGAATCTGGGTATATCCTGAAGATAAAATCTATAGGATTTTCTGGTGGTTTGGAAGCAGATTGTGAAATACATAAACAAAGGATGATTCCTGGGCTTGGGGGCACACCAACTGAAAGAACAGAGTTGTCATTTATTGAGAGTGAAAACTGGAAAGGAGCAGACAGGAGAGGAAAACTAAGAGTTCAATCTTAGACACATTAAGTGTGAGATGTCTTCTTAATACCCAAGTGGAGATTTCCCTGGATAAGTTAAATATTACCATGATGGATCTACTGACATCCAGGATCAGGGTTCACAAGTCCAAATGTTTTATGGACCCAGGTAGTCAACATAAATAAGCATTGAAATCAATAAGGACAGGTGAGAACTGTGGCCTATCAGAAAGTAAATGCCCCCTCTAAACCAGAAGCCATTACTGATGTAGCCCAGACTTGTAATGCCCATTAAGGATATGGGCTGCAGGCCCTTAGGTTCTTTCAATTTTTTTTATTGGTTCTTTTTAGTTATATAAACATTAGGATTCATTCTGACATAATTATAAAAGTATAAAATGTAATTTGCTCTAATTCAGTCCCCAGTACTTTCTCTTGCCCTCTCCTCCCCCCTCCCCATGTCCTTCCATCCACTCTACTGATCTTTATTTTAGTTTTTAGTAGCAAGAAAAATCTGGATTTTTAACAACCAAATCTTAGAGGAAAAAAAAAAAAGGTTTCATAATCTACTAAGTTCTAGAAGAGTTCAATTAAAGAAAGGTCTTACTTCAGCACTTATCATTGTCCTTAATTTTTTAATGCACATTACAAAAGAGATTTTGTTTAGCATTTTTCAATCTACTTGACAGGAGAACTCTTCATACCTCTGAAGAGATGTGACTTGGTAATGACTTTGGGGAATGCTGGCTTAAGGGTAAGTACTAGAGGTCTAATCAGCTCCTTCATAACTTCTTTGAAGATTTCATGGTGTATATGTTTATTGTGGCTTGTAAGTCATTTGATCACACACACACAATTTTGTTAGATGTCCTAACATCTATGTTTAGACTTGAGTAAACCATAAGTGGAACAATTACTGACGTCTTCTAGCTTGTTAAATGCTAAGTGGAGTCTTGACCCTATCACTGGTGAAGAAACATTTAGTGAAATCACAGGGGCACTGAGTCACTTCATGTCCCAACTTCTCTCCCTTTTTCCGCTGCTGTGTTAAGTAACTTAGTGGCAGGAAGGATAGCCAACCACTATTGTGCACAGATGTTCTTTGTTTTATTTATCCATGAGGAAGGAAGAAGAGAGGACAAATAAATCTGGAATGGAAATTTTGCAATAAAAAGACATTGTTGCAGGTCTTTAAAAATATCCTCCAGGGTATATTAAAACATTTGAGGTGCAGGACTGGGGATACAGCTCAGTGGTAGAGCACATGCCTAGCACATACAAAGCTCTGGATTCAATCCCCAGCAACACACACACACACACACACACACACACACACACACACACATTGAGGTGCAAAAAAAGCTTGTCTCTGAAGAATAAGAGTACATAAGCTGTAAAAAAGAGCTCCCAAACAATTGAGGAGATCAATACATAAAAAGATGTGTAAACAATACAAAAATGTCAAATGTCGTGAAAAGGTTCTATGGAAGTTCAGAAAAGGGAGAAGGTAATGTGAGTTTGAGTGGCAAGTGGAAGTATCACATGAGCTGGTTCTTGATGCAGAGGGAGGCATCAAGCAGCCAGAAGGGCAGTGGGAATTCCATGAAGGAAGGACATGGCAGAGATGGAGATGGGACAGGCTCAAGAACCATGAGCAGACAAAATTGTGCCAGTTAGGGGGAAAATGGGATATAAGACTGGACCAGATCACGGTGGTCATGGGATACTTGTATAGGTAACTGTATAAATAATTATATATTTGTACATGAACCTGCCATATTCAGGAAATGTGAAATGATAAGATCAAGAGGGGGATGGTGAGGCAAGAATGCTTGCAGACCCTGGGAAGGTGTGATGAGTCTGGGCTCAGGAGCTGACAGTGGGAACACAAGGAAATGGTGATATTATAGAGGAAGAAAGGTTCAATGGGAGAAGCAAAGGAGAAAGATATGGCATTGATCCACAGCACATCACAGGATCACTTGGAGCTCAGTAAGTTCATCCTGAGTTTTAGGTAGTGATTGAGGCAGAGAAAGAAAAACAGAACTGTAATTATTCTTTCTTATTATTCTCCTCCTTGGGGGAAATGGGCAGATACAAAACAGGAGTCAGGAAGGAACGAGAAGAGAAAGTATTTGAGAGAGTTTCCAGCTGCTGAGACAAACAGGAAAGAAAGTAAATTTTCTCCTTAAAAAAAAAAAAAAACTATTTGCACACTGTCTCTTGTCTAAATTTAGGATAATAAATTAGGGGCTACTTTCTTTCTCATCCCATCCTCAAACTTTCCACTCACAAGCACTCAGGAGTCACACATTCCATGTTTGTGCTCCCTTTGGCAGACCAAAGTCTTGGTTCTTCCTCCTGTTTTGTATGGTGACCCTGGAGCAGGTGCAACAGGCAGATCAATAACAGCAGCCGTCAGTCTTTTCCATTTACAAGGTCTCCAGGGTGAGCCGCATCAATTATTTTCTTCCTGTAGCAGCCAGGAAGATCATGCTGCTTAAAAAGCCTCTCAATGTATATGACCAGGACAAGGGAAAAATGGAGAAGGCATAACAAGAAAGAACAGGGTGAAGGGTCGACTGGATTTGCAAACCTAGAAAACGTCTTAATATGCAGTGGCTATTTAATATACAAGTGTTTTCAATTCATGATACTCTAACTTTCTTTGGCTCTACAAATGCAGTGTAATAACTAATATAACTATGTGTAATCACAGATTCAGTTAATGGTACAATTGCTTCTAAGTAACAGAATACAGGTGTCCTCTGAGCTCAGCAACAAAAGATACCACTGTCATAAATGCCCCAAGACTCTGTAGTAGAAATAACTGCCTTAGCACTTCTGAAAGATATAAAGAATCTCCAATGCTTACAGTTTCTCCTGGAACTTCTTGCTAGACATGGAAGGAGGAGTGCTGGGAGGGTTTGAAACTGACAGCTACTTTAACAGCACCCACACATGCATTCCCACTATCTAGAGGAATGAATTCACATCTGAACTGGTTATACAAAATCCACATATACAATGGACTATTAGTAACTGATACAGACACTTCTAGAAAATATGCTTTGAACATGTAAATTGGGGTGGGGATTAGAGATTCTGCAAGAATATTCACTAACTGAAAGTTGTCCTGATGGAAAGTTTTCATAAAATGTTAACTTGAATTTCTAGTTACACAACTAAAATACTCTCACAAGACAATAATGGAAAATATTTATTCTTGGATCTGTGTCAGCTAAAACAACACTGTTGTGACAATGAACAGAATTCATAGGATCAATCCCCATAAAACCCTGGCAGCAGAGAAGTCATGAAAATAGTAATGAAATGACTCTATAAATAAAAATAACTTAAGTAATTGCTTCAAATGGGACAAAGGATGTTTTCTACCATAATCAAGCAAGGACAGTTTACTTTCTCTGTTGTCTTTTAAAATTGTTGCATTCTCATTGACTGATATTACAATTTCATTTGTAACCAAATCCCTGAATCTACCAGATTCCACAGAACACCAAACAGAGGTTAGAACTTGGCAGACAGTGAGAGCTTTAGAGAAAGAGGTCCCCTGTGGGTTCATAGAGCCTCTTCCACCTTCAAGAATGAAGAAAGAGAGCAAATAGCAAGATCTCTGTGAAGGTATAGACAACAAGAAGAAGACAACAGAGGGCCTCCTAGGGGCTCTGTAGTCTGCATTCTAAAAAAAGGGGTCTTAAATGACAAAAAGCAAGAAAAGGAGCTTCATGACATCATCAGACGTATTCATAGAAAACAATGAGTTACTTGTGGAATGAAAGACTTCACAAAAAATTTGGAATTAATCAGCAATCCCAAGGATAGTATACTTGTATAAAACAACAAAATGCACTTTCTAGTCTTCTCTTACCTGCCTACTGTCCCTCTGGGAGGATGTTGAAGAGGAGGCACTTCTATGGGTTGGAGTGGATGTTTTATGAGCAGGCGACACACCCTTCTCGTCTGAACTCATCGCTGCAGTTAGAATCTAGTTACTTGAGATCATCCCAATCTTCCTTCAGATTCACAAAAAAGCAGGTGATTTTTCAGCTTCATTCCATTTCAGGAAGCACGGTTGACTAGGAGACAGCAGGCAAATACTGAGGTTGTCCAAACCACCTGAAAGCACAACAAAGTTTCATTAATTTTAAAAAATAAATTTAAATCACTACAATTAGTAAAAATATTCTGTATTAGTAAGAGGAAGAACTTTGACACAATAGGAAATAGGATTTTAAGGTGGAGGATAAAAGTGTTCATTGTGATGAAGGCCTGTCAACAAGGAAATGGGAATAAATTATTATGCTAAGTCGAATTCTTCTCTTCCATTCTCTTTAAGGCAGATTATAATTTTTATATTCTAGACCCTACTTCCAAAGTACACCAGCTTCTTCCTCAGTAATTTTAATGACCTTTACTGAATAGATTATAATAGCTCAGTCCATTTTGTGTTTTGTTTAGTTTGGCCATATCATATAATGTCACAGTTAAATCCAACACAAAACAGTCATTTATAAAGGGGTTGATACATTATGTGCCTACTCTGATTCAGCATTTGTGAAAGACAAATGCACATTATATAGTTTGAATGTTGAATGTCTCTCAAAAGCACATGTGTTACAGGTTTTGGTCCTCAGGATGGCACTAGAGGAGATGGTAGAACCTATAGGAGGTGGGGCCTCATGAGAGGTCCTTAGGTCATTGCAGACACGTCCTTCTTCTTTCTCTTTTGCTTCCTGACCATGAGGTTAAGCACTTTGTTCAGCCATATGCATCCCCACCAGAGGATTAAAAGCAATAGGTCTGACTGATCATGGATGGGAACCTAACACTATGAGCCAAAACAAACCTTTTTCCTTTATAGGTTAAGTTTCTGGTGTATTTTGTTTTAATGATGGGAAAATGACTAACACAACACATATCCACAGATATTTGTACTTCAAAAGTACAGCATGGCTACCTGTGACTCTCAAACAAATTGCTCACAAGTATCTACAGATTGAAATCAGAGCTGAGATCCAAAGGATGAGTTAAGTAGGTTAAGCATGGCACAATCAAGGAATGAGTGGTTGCCAGTATGGTTACAGCACACTGATATGTTGGTGATATGATGGTCAATGACAGGCAAAGGTCAGTCCTGCAGGGCCCTGGAGGCCTTGGTGGCTGTTATTATCTGAATGTGTCCCCCAAAGTGCCTATGTTGGACCTAATCCCCAAGGCAACAGTACTGAAAGGTGGTACCTACAAGGAGGTATTCAGGCCATGAGGACTCTGTTGTCATGAATGGATTTAATGACACTATGAAAAGGGTTTGTGGGAATGGGTCCTTTTATTTATTTATTTATTTTTCTCTTCTATTGTGAGGACATGGCATTTTCCCTTCCAGAGGACACAATGTTCAAGGTGCCATCTTGGAAGCAGAGAGTCTGGGTCCTAACCTGCCAGTACCTTATTCTTGGACTTTCCAGCCTCTGGGGCAGTGAAAAAGAAATCTGTGTTCTTTATAAGTTACCCAGTTATGGTTACTCTCTTATTGCAATGCCAAAGGACAAAAATATCAGCATTTTCTAGAAATATTTTTTTTTAGTTGTAGATGGACACAATAACTTTATTTTATTTATTTATTTTTATGTGGTGCTGAGGATTGAACCTAGTGCCTCAGACATCTGAGGCAAGTGAGCTATCACTGAGCTACAACCCTAGTCCCAACATCAGCATTTTAAGTACCATAAACAGAAGCAGCATAAGGGGTATGGCATATCCAGATATATGTTAGTAAAAGGTTACTTTGGCAACCATAAGGAAAATGAAATTGAGGAAGTCTCAAACCAAGAGATTATGGATTAGAGTAGATGAAGGAAACTCAACACCAAGTCCTTCACACCGTGACTGATAGGGCAGAGGGGAAAGGGAGGGTCCAATGACTGTCACATTACTGGTATCCTAATCAAGAAATAGTCAAAAGAAATATAGGATTGACAGGAAGGCCAAGAGTATGCTTTCAGGCATGCTGAGTTTGAGACATTAAACGGAGATGAATACCTGGAAACATAGGTCTACAGTTCAGAGAAATCTAGGCTGGAGACATAAATGTTTAATAGATCATGTTCATGATACAAATATATCCAGTGATTTATGTGTAAACATGTACATTATTCATGTGCAAATAAATTTAATTTCATACAGGTCTATAGTTTCAGATTTTTAAAATGTGAAACATTATGTTAATGGATTATGTGATCTTGAATGTGTTAATCTGGATTTAATGATTACCTGGTTTTAGAGAATAATTAAAAGAACAATTCCAATAATTAAGAGGGAATTTTTATAAACTGGGAAAACTGGGCATTCTAATGACTAAAACTTGTAATCTTTTTTTACCTCTTTAATTCACTGTCAACACACGAAAAATAAAAACTACTTATCCTCCAAATTGGAGACTCTCTCTTGAAACAAAACTAGTCTTTGGAGCCGTATAAATGTAAGGAGCTACAGAGCTCTTTTGGCTAGAGAAGAAACTTCATCTTGTGTGAGCAAAAAGCAGAAATAGGCCAACACTTGATAGATGATCACTTAATCTCTTTGTTTTATGAAGGCAGTCTAATGAATGTGAGTAAAGTTTCTGGAACCTAGATCTGGTGCCAAGAAACAGAAAGCAAGACACGACCAGATCCTTGATTTGAAGTACTTGGCTTTATGGTCCAAGACATTTTATAAGTAGATGTTGACACTTGAGCCAAAACTACAGTGGTTTTGTGATGTGTTCAAGTGCCCCCAAGGGATGAGGCTGAAACAACCCAACTCATTAAACTGTTATCCACTTGCAAGTAAATTCAATCCGAGCTACATTTCCTCTGCTGAACTTTTTTTTTTTTTTTAAACTGCATCCAACTGCACTTGCCTCATTAATACCAATGCTAACACCATGATTTTTGTTTTTAATTTAACATGACATTTTCAGGGTAACTTGTTTATGATGAAAGGGCAACATTTTGGTCTAATTACAATTATGAATATGTTGAATATTGTCAAAATGAAGAAAGAAAAAATGAGTAAATGAATTTAACTCATTCTAAGATTTGGTTTTAAGGTTACCATTGTTTCTATTAATTTTGGGTCTTTTTTTAAAAAACAAAAAGTGTTCTAAGAACCTAAGATTAAAAAGAAGGAGAAGAAGAAGAAGCAGCTAATATAAATTTGAATGATCTTTAAAGGTCATTCTATCCAATTATCAATCAAGTGTTTGATTACCTACTCTATTTCAAAATGCATTATAAAGTAAGCCTAAATCTGTTAGAAGTTTTCATCCACTCATTCCTTATTCCTAGAGTGAAGGAATTCTATAACATTAAAAAAAATACTTATTTCATCTCTGTTGAAGTACATTTTTACAACATGCCTAAGCAATCTTCTAAACCCAAGACCATATACTTTAAAGTCAACACCGACATAATTACTATACTCAGGAAGTATTGTGGCTGAAAATAACAGCAACGAGTCAAACACCTAATTTTTCTGTATCATTCTTCCTTCATGTCAGTGGGAACACCACAAGTCTTCTATGTGCTGTAACATTTGCATTTACATTGAGTGACATAAAACTCAGATTTATGACCCAGGTACCTAATGAGAGCCAAAAATGGTAGGGCAAACTTCTGGAACTTGTTGTTCATAGGCCTCACAACTTATATGTGTCCAAAAAAAAAAAAAAAACCAAAAACATTTTGAAACTGTGGACTCTGTAGCCTGGGCTAAGTTGTGATGTGGTCATAAAAGAAGCCCCAACCCTCAGGGGCTTACAAAAAAGACTTATTTTCTGCCAATTTACTTGTCCTTTAGGTCAGCTGCAGACCTATTCAGGGTTCTTTTTATCCCAGGCATATGGAGCAGACCCCTCAAGAGCAAAGGACAAGAGCCACGGTAGAACCATGGGACAGTTTTTTGAAGCTTTTACTCGTAGGTAGAACATGTCACCTCCACCTGAGGTCAATAAGGCATGAAATTAGCCCTCTCAGTGGGAGAGGCCGTGGGTATTTGGGCATAATAGTATATAATATCTTATAAAAACCACAGGAAAAGATGAAAAATTCAGATGAAAATATTTGAATTGACTCTAGTTCCATCACCCACAGATAACCTTTATTATCATTTTGGTTCTATTTAACAGAAGGAGAAGAATAACATAGATACATGTCTGCAATATGATTTTTCAATCAATAATATATCACTGTTGGCTTTTCTTATAGCAAGGAAATATCAACATCTTTCTTAACCAGTATAGATCAGGCCACTAAACAAAGATAGCACAAGATATTTAGCCATTCTTTAATTGGAACATTTTAAGTTGTATTCAGTATATTTTGAAACAATGAGATTTATCACAGAAGAGTTCTTAAAAGCTATATATTCACTTTGATCATTATAACAATGGCCCTTCTTTGCTTTATTTGGTATCATTTGCTCCCTTTTTTGTTTGCAAGTGACTGATGACATTTTATCCTTTCACGTTCAGACTTTGTATCATTTTGTATTATATGTCTTTCCAATCATGATCAGGGTGAGTTTTAAAAATATTTCTAATTTGAGAGAAGTTTTTCTAATTTTCACTTTATAATTTGCTTTATTATTTCACTTTATAATGTATAATCTACCTGGACAGCATACTGACTTTTCTTATGGTTTTACTGACTATAATATTTGCCAGTAATTTCAAACATATAATCCTCCTCTTAAAGTTCTATTTGTTTCTATAAATCATGATAGAGGTTCTAGCATGTCTGTAAGTGGTAGAGTAAAAAGTAAACTGAGATTTTTGTAGATTCCAGTCTTCTCTCTAATTTGGTGACTTCATAGGGGTCTTTGAAAACCACATTTGGATTCTAGATGCTAGATGCATTGGAGAGGAGCTGCTACCACTTTCCCTCATGGCCACCTGGAATCTGAAAGTGTAAGAACAATACTATATGAAAAGCATCACCTGAAAGACTATAAAACATTTTTTTTGTTTGTTTTTGTAAAGGCAGGTTCCTTTGCTTTAAGGGAAGCTAAGGTTTGCCATAATCAAAACTTGGCTAGGTTTTTCTCAGTTTGAGATAGAGCCTTTGTAAAGTTAGGG